GGCGTAGGTGGGAGGGGGGGGGGCGCAATGGGCATCCGCTGAGCGGGGAGCGTTTAGGACAGGTGGTGAGAGTTTTATGAATCCAGCGTTTCATCAATGTGCCCTCGTGTTTTTGGTCATCGCTTGGGGTAGTTTGTTTAGGGAGAGTGTTATCCCCATTATTTGTGCCGTTACTTTTGGTTATTTCCTTCCAGAGAATATATGCAACCCCTGCTATCTTGGGGGGCCACATGGCACCCTCCAGAACGTGTTTGCCCCTATGGTCGCGGCGGTTGAGTGCGGTTGGGTGACTGCAACAAAGTCCTGTGCCTGTACAACCCTGTGTTGGCCTGCGAGTGCATGGCGCTTGATCGATCTGACACGACATACGGCGACCTGTTTGCTGCTCCCTTGGCGCCCAAAGCGTGCAGTGACTGCAACTGTGCCTGGGTGGGGACTTGGGTGGGACGGAGAGTGCGCAAGCGCGAGCGGTGCGGCCGTGTGCACCAATGATGTGACATATATGCGCTCGGTCGTGTCATATGTCATCACATCTCCTGTTTTGGCTCTTCGCGCAACGAAAAAGGAGCAGGAGGCAAGATCACCAGCATCGCAGCAATGTCTGGGAGCTCGCGACGGGGTACTGCTGTGTTATAAGATGTTGGAGCAGGTCAAGCATCTTGCTGTTCCCCGGCTGGCTCGCGGCAGCCCGCTGTACGCAAATGCATTCAGAGCCAACATCAAAGCTTTTGTCGCCCAGTACGGGAGGCGGATCGAGCTGCCGGAGTGGCCATACCAAGCCACAACCTCCATATACCTCGTTGACCTCGTGCTGCCGGGAGCCGGCGGCGCGTTGGCGTCCGGGGGCCCAACCAGCGGCGCAACGGCGCATGGCGGGAGCACCGTCCGCCTCCACGTCTATGAGGAGCGCAGCTACGGCGCGTCTGTATGCGACCAGTGTCGCTGCATGGGTGAGCGGGCCGTGAGTACGTACGCGTGTGCGTGTGTATGCGTGTGCGTGTGCATGTGCGTGAGCTGTGAGATTATAGGACAGCCCCACAGGCTGCAGGCCGTCGCAGGCCCGGTCCACACCGACTTCAGTGCGCAATCGATCCCACCCCGCACACATCCTACGCAACAGCATCGGCATTTCGCCCGCCCGCGCAGGCTGGCAGCATCACCCGGTCAGCCGCAGCCGCTGGCACTTCGTGGTGCCGTGCGCGGCGACGCTCTCCGACGCCACCTCCCTCGCGGGCGCGGTGGAGGCGTTTGACCGGGGGGAGGCGGTGACGGGCGCAATGGTGGCGGAACCCGACAAGGTGCGATGAGGGGCGCACGACGCCCCCACCGCAGCACTCACTAGAAGGAAGGTCACAACTGGCAGCTGGCAGCAGGTTGGCACGTTGGAATCAGGCGGCGCCGGGGCTCACCGGGCCGCTCTGCGCCGCGCCTGCTGCAAGGCAGCGGCGCCCCTGACAGCAGTAGCCGGGCGCTGTGTTCTCGGCAATGACCCTGGCTGGGCCGGCTGCGTGCGAGCTTTTGCGCTGCCGGCCGGCCGGCATGCGCAGCGAGCGGGTGTTCGGACCGCACCAAGCAGGCGTGCGGACCTTGACCCGCTGCGCGCGCCGCATCCTCGGGTCTGTGCCCCGTGGGATGGACCTTACAGGAGGACGATTCCGCGCCCTACATGGCGCCCACCTCCATTTTCGAGAGCTCCGCCCACCTGCTGCACGGCGCGCTGCACCTCAACGGCTACGGCCACCTGCTGCGCATGAATGCGGGAGAGGGCGGCGGCGGCGCGCGGCTTGCAGGTGAGCGCCGCGCGGCGGCGCTGCGTGTGCGTCGGCTTGGTGCTAGGGAGGCCTGGCCGGCAGACCTGGCTGGGGTGCTTGTGGCTGTGAGGTGTGGCGTCCTTGGTACGGACGGGATTTGCGGCTGCTGCGTCGACAACTCGCAGTGCGCCGCAAGCACGCGGCCAGCCTCATTGGCAGGCGCGCGGGCCGCGGTCGCGGTGGGCTTCGAGGCGCATGCTCTGGCTCTCGCCTCGACGGCGGCGACAGCCTTGGCAGCGGAGGGCCCGAGGCGCCCAAACCCCACGGCCGTCCCCCGAAACGCACCGCCGCCGCAGGCAAGCAGCTGCTCCTCCTGTGGGACCGCGTCTGCGAGCTGCTGCGCGCCAGGGAGGTGAGGCGGCGCGGCCCCCGCC